TACTGCAATCTACTATGCTCATTGCTGATTTATATTAAATGGTGAGTTCACACATACACACACAGTATCAGTAAACCCAGAGCTCTCTCTATAACACCCAAACTGGATGTTTAAAAACCCTTATTCACTTCTCTGCTGGAGCAAAAGCTTTGCATCAGACCGTGTCTCTATTAGTCCCTCTGATGAAAAAGAAACTGGCTCACCAGTGAGAGCTATTTTCCAGACAAATCACTTTTCTCATATTGCATTTGCAGTTATATTTTCCTTTTCCATTTTTATGAGTCCAGGGTAATGTACCAGCAAACAGCAGAAGTCTGCATTTCATCTCCACTGGTCAGTATTCAGGTTGCAGGAGCACGACTGTATTGATTTTATTGTTTAACACTTTTCATGGATATATTGAAAGGCTTTGGCATAGTCAGCTGCAAGACCATTAAGTAATGCATCTGAAACAATACATTGATCTGGCACAAGCTGTGGGATTTTTCAAATTAAAGAGTATTGTTTTTTATACATTTTCCCAGCTATTTCTGATCTGTGTTCTTGTAAACCCACAAGGGCAGACGTGGTGATTTTGCAAAAGAACTTCCATCAAGATAAAAGAATTGGAAGAAGTGATAAGGTTAGGGGGAAAAGAAGATATGGAAATAACTTTTGCAGACGGGTTGAGTGGGTTAAGTGCATTATCCTATTCTGCTATTTTGTAGAAGGTCATATTTAATCTATGTAATTATTGTCATGCAATTTTATGCAGCTCTCTGCCTGAATCAAAGTGCCCCAGGGTGCGCCTACGCAGTGTTTTAAACATTCCTGTTGAAAAAATGAAACTCATTTGACACACAATAACGCTCCAGGAGGATGTTTTTCCTCTTCTTCCGAATCTCACATTGGGGAGATTACCTTTTCCCTCTCCTGCAGCTGAAAATATCTCTCAAACAGAGATAGCGCTCGGAGGGCTGGGCTGTTAAGCCATGGCATTATACACACACATTCTTATTCAAATGTGTTTGACCATCTTCTGCAGGATATGAATCCATTAAAATATCCCATTTGTACCATTTGAAAGCAGACATTATCTGCTTTTAGTGTGGTCTTGAGTGCAATATCTTATCCATGATGTTTGAATGCCTTTCTTTCTTAACTTATACCTTATTTTTAACATATTTGTAGTCTGATGTCTTCGCACTATATTTAATATCAGTCTACAACTTTCCTTAAAGATCCTCTCCAAACTTGTATTAAGACATAATAAATCAATAATTAAATCAATAATGTGTGTTTGATATGTTTTTTCATTGAAAAAAGAATAATTTTCACATTGAAATTAGAAAGATATCTGCTCCTTCTACCAAATTAAATATTCCATAATCTATAAATATGCAAATTTTGTTCATTTCTAAAGTTTTCCTGCTGGATACACTCTTACTTGTACACTCCTACATTGTAAAGTCCATTCTCGGTGTATTTGCACTGGTGGCTTCAAGTTGCATACTAGACCAGTGTCGACATCTAAATTATTTGTGATGTCACAAATAATGCTCTGAGGCCCCGCCCCTTAAAAATCAGACAGAGAAACTTTCCACTTCCACAGATTAATTTGAAAACATGCTTCTAGGGTCAAACTCTGCACATACATCATTATGCACAGTGACACTCAACCATACAACTGTAGGAACAAGAAGTAAAACATTTTTTAGTGGACTTTAATAGATATACAGAATTGTGTGACTGAAACTCTCAGACACTGTGGACAATCATTTTATATCACAACCACTTTTTTACAGTTGAGACACATTCATAAAACAACACCAAAGAAAGCCATTTAGGGACACACATGCACAACTTAATTAGACTGAGTTCGTCTTGAACTTCCATTTGTCTTTACTGTTTATATACAGCGTGCCAAACAGGCATTTCCCTATTTTTAGACAAGAGATGTGAGTAGAATCAGATCCCTGTCCTAAAGGTCGAGGGAGAGGGGAACAGGCAGAGGGGAGCGGGATCTCGTGCTGTCATCAAAATGGTTGTGTGTAACTCAATACCAATACGCCATTATGTCGCCAGTAAACAATCAGAGCTGTAAGTCAGCTGGAGGGGACACGTGAGATTCAGGAACCCCTTTGATTAAAACACACTCAAACCTAGTGGTTGTGTGATAGTGTGCAATTTACTATCTGAGGGTTCAGGCAGAATGTCATACTGCGTTTATTCATCCTACAAGCATGATCCATGATTTAATACATTATAAAATATGGAAGTGCACACACAGCACTATGGTATTGAAGCAAACATTGCATTGCTACATAGACTTTGCCTTGTTAATTATTCTTCTCCACCCTCACTGCATGTTGGCTTAGCTGTGGAATGAAATGTCAGCATCTTAGAAATAAAAGAGGAAAGTAATTTAACTGTCAGCTTAAGAATTTGAAAAACTTTCCCCAAGCAAACACCTACGCAGATTGTGATCCTTTCCGTCTGTTTAGAGCATTTTTAGAAAAATCTGTGTTGCACATACACACGCATGAGGCAACTTTCTCTTCAAAGTCGAATGAGTCAATGGAAACCTAGAACAAATGTGTTGATTTAGTAACAACAACCATAGCTAGCTGGAAATTCTCACAAAAAAATGTGACTATTTATGTGAAAGGGTAATGAGCACAATTTTTAAATAAATGCTCAGGAATACCTCTTATCTTAAACACCCACTGAATGCCACAGATGACCAACATGTGGGTGTTAAAATTGGTGATTAGCCAGCAGATCACGGCAGGTTACTGTAGAGTGGATCACACATGGCTGTGGGTATAGGGGTGTAGCAGCTTGTGTATGTGTGCTCGCAATTATTTGTGTGCACACTTGTAGGTAGGCGGCGGAGAGTAGGGGGAATGTTTGTATAGGCCAGTGTGTGTGTGTGCTTGTAAATCTAAATTTGAACGTGAAGGTGTATGTGTATTTGCATGTGCATCTGCTGGAGGAACATTGTTCCATTACACAATGCTCGCCTTTGACATTCCAGCTCCACCTGTCAGTGTGTACAAAGGCCTTTCTCCAGGCTTTGACATGTGTGAATCTGCTGCTGGCCAGGAGAGATAGCCGAGTCCTGTTTAGGACACGAGTGGGTGGACAGCCTGCAGTCCTGCCTGACCTCCTCCGTGATCTTTCTCTCAGGCTGCATAACTAAGACTGGAGCTCAGTGGAAAACATTACTGAAGAGGTATCTAATACTGAATCAGTGCCCTCTTACTAATCAAACAAACTGACATCTTGTCCCAGTGATTGATGCAGACACCACGTCAGTACGGCAGCAGTAAGATGTATCATCCCTCTTCAAACCATTAACATCTGTTGGTGATGTAATGATCACAGTACTTACATTACAGTACAGTACATTTTGGGCTTTAATTTAGGTCAAACACTGTTTGTTTGTTTTTTAAGATACCCAAACCAATATAAAATCTGCATTTTCAAGTCCAGCATAAAATATTGTGTTTATATATGTGTGTTAATATTATGTTTGTCTGTTACAGTTTTCAAAATGTTAACATTTTAAGTACCAAAAACTGAGGTTGGAGTAAAGTTTACAGTTAACACTATGTGGACATTTAGGTGTCCCTCCCTGGATTATCTCCCTGCTGCATCTTTTCCCATCCCTTCCAGTTGCTGCCTGATAATAACTAACATAATTCGTTGTTATTATTGGTAGTAGTTAGCAGCATAATAATAAAATATTTTTCAAATTTAAAAGAAGTTTAGAACATGGCACAATATGATTGCTATTCTATTTCATTATTTATCTTTTATAAACTATTATTTGTGCTCTTTTTATTCTGCCCTTTCTGTATGCTGTTTTCCCCATTGTGGGAGAAATAAAGGTTTTCTTATCATATCTTTATTGGCCAGAACCGACCAACAGGAACCTTCCATCCATATATGTAAGGATTAAGATGTGTGAGCATGAAGACGTATATGACAGATACATACTGTATATGACAGATACATACTGTATATGACACAGCCTCGCTGTCTACATTTAGCCCATTGCATCATTGATTTGGATTATGTTTTGTTTGTTTTAAGATTGTCTGTTTGTTCAGGAAAAAAGTGTCAGCTTAAGGTAGCCCATACAATTTTAAAATTACAGATATGTTACTCAGTTACTTCTTTCTTTTATTTTAGTATAGTTATATATCTGTAAGGCTGCATCTACGTTTGGTATAATAAATAGTGTTGAATAATATCAAGTTTAAAGTCAGTTTAAATTAACACATTTGACTGGCAATGTCTGAAGTTGAGTTCTGTAGAGGAATGTCAGAAAACAAAAGGTTCGGAACCACTGTTATCGGCTATTGAGGGAAAAAACAGAAATAAGTTCAGTTACACAGTTGAACCCACATAAGAGTTGAGGTCAAATATATCTGACCTTTTTCAACTGCACCATTTCACTTTCAGGCTATACCTGCTGCTATTAACGCCCTGCTCTTCTTCTTTATTTGCCCAGTTTTAGTGGGAAAACGTGCACAAAGAATGTGTGTCAAGACATTATTTCATAAAATCACAAAATAAGACAGGGCACAGGAACACAATCTTGACATAAATCATTCCTCCAGGACGCAAAAAATGACATCTGAGAAATGACATTTGAATTAAATATGTCAGTTTTTAATTATAGCTTCCCTATTGTGCAAACTAATAGTTTCCGAGGATTGTTCTATTCGTGCAGCAAGTTCCATGTCAATCAGACTAATGGTGTAGGAGTTGAGACCTTTCAAACTGTGAAAATGCAACCGTTAAATACAGAGCCCATTAAGCCACTTTAGAGTGGAAAAAATGCATCTACTTTTCATCAAGTTGCACCAAATAAGAGCAGTAATGCATTAAGACAGAAGCAGACACTACCCTTATAATACTCTTACACCTTCTGTTTATGATGATAACCTGCTAGTATTATAATGCATGACATTTTGATGAATTAATAAAAAAATCCCTCCTCATTATTTATATTTTTTATTCATACTTTAATCACAGTTCCTTTCCTTCCACCCAGATTTTCAGGTTAACTAACCTGCAGTCTGAAAAACATTTTGTTTCATAAATTTAGTAACTCAATCACTGGGATTATATTTGTTTAACCTCCAGCCTGTTGCTCCTTCGTCCTCGCCCCATAACTCGGTGGTCAAGTTATTCCACTAATCCTTCAGGGAGGAGGCAGAGTTGTGACGGCTGCTGCAAAATTTAAACCCATTATAGGAACATGTCCTGCAGCCAAGGAAGCTTCAGAGTTCCTGGTGTTGGTAACATGATCCTATCTGATCGCAGTCACTGCTTTCAACATTTCTGCACCGTAGAGGGGTTTTATATCTGACATATTACCTCACAATCATACAGTGTCAAGTACACATATTTACACTGATGCCAAGAAGATCACAGGCAGAACCAGAGTTGCACAGCCTTGATCAGATGTTGCTTTTATAGTCTCTTCCATAACCATAATGTCTCACTGAAAAATGTATGGCACTATACCTAGTCTAGTTTTGTTGTGATGCCTGTACACTATTAATAACCCTATCATTTATCTTCTTCTCCTGGAGGAGCTACCAGTCTTAAAAAAAACAAACATCCATTTTGATACATATTTCTGTACAGAGAAAGAAGCTACAGTGCAGTCTACAGTATGAGTGTGAAGATTGAGAATGGGGGTGTTATATAAGAAGCCTACATGGGGGAATCAGTGTACTGGCTGTTCAAACAGAACCCCTCAGCCTACAGGGAGTTACTGCGCAAAGGCACAGCTCATCAAGTCAATATCTTACACACATGTCCCTATAATAGGCACAATTCCTCAAATGCATTTAAGATCCTTGGAGAGCATTACTGCCGCCCTATTATTTTTAAAAGGCTATTTACAAGCATGCCTCCATTGACCCTGAATTGAACGGGTGTTTGATTAAGTCAAAAATGAATAATTCATTTGATTTTTTTTGTTGTTGTTTATCTTTTTTTTGCAGTTTTCAAATGATGCGAGGTCTTCAGTGTTCATGAGATGAAATATTCAGTGGCTTCCGCTGTGCTCTCAAAGCTTGTGTCCATGCTGGGGGTCTGGATCCCCGCCCCTCCCCTGGGATCCTTCAGTAAGGGGATGTATGTGTCGCTGTGACAGGAGCGCATGGCGTTATCCCAGACCCCTGCACCGCAAACATGTTTATGGGCGCTGGGTGCAGCCTCTTGTTCGCCGTCGCTGGAGCGCAGCGCCATCAGTTCAATCTCATGCTTGGCCGCAGTCTCCAGCACCTGTTGCTTGTTGTAGAAGAGGACAAAATTGTTGATGATAGGGTGTATAGGCAGCGCTATGGCGATCACCCCGCACAGAAAGCTGATGGCCGCGTTACACCGACCTAAAGTGGTCTTGGGGTAGACGTCTCCATAGCCCACCGTGGTCATGGTGATCACAGCCCACCAAAACGACTGTGGGATGCTGGTGAACAAGGTGTCCGGGTGGCTCTGCTCCATGGTGTAGCCCAACGCGGAGAAAAGGAAGACCCCCACGCCCATATACATGAGGAGAAGTCCGAGCTCTTTGAAGCTGCTCTTCAGGGCAGATGTGAGGGTCTGGAGACCAGAGGAATGCCGTGCCAGCTTGAAAATGCGCGCAATGCGCATTATGCGTAAAGCCTGCACCGCTTGCTGCACGTTAGCCAGCTCCATCATTCCTGCGCCGAAGGAGGTCAGAATCAGCACCACGAAGAAGGGCATTATCGCCATGAAGTCGATGATGTTCATGAAAGACAGGACGAATTTTATTTTATTTGGAGAGGAGATCAGACGCAGGAGGTATTCAATAGTGAACCAGCCGATGCACATCGTCTCGATGACCTCCAGAGTTGGGTGCTCCGAGAGGTTACCCTCTGCGTCCTCCACCTGTAGGTCGGGGATGGTCCCGACACACATCACCACGGAGGAGACGAGGATGAAGATGAAAGAAACTATAGCGATTATGTGCGCAGGCATCGAGGACTCCGGCTTCTCCATCAGCCTCCAGAGGCACATCTGAAAGCGCTGCCAGCCTTCTGCAGACGGATCTCCCTCCCGGTCCACCAGGATAGTTCTCACTTTATCTGCAATCTCTGCAAGTTCATCCTCTACCTCCTTCAGGTGGCATTTACAACAGTCATCCAGAAAATCAGAGCCGATTTTCCAGAACTCCATCTCCTTCATGAAACAAATTGGACAGATGCCTCGTTTCATGTGAATCTCTCCATAATAATACAGTTCAATTATACACTTAAATGCTTCGGGGTCTCTGTCAAAATAAAATTCTCCAGTGTCAGGGTCGTAGTCGTCACATAGTAAAGATATTTCTTCAGAAGATTTAAGTGAACAGTCCACCAGTTCTGCCAAGCGGGTGTCTGGGAAGCGATTCAACACGTCCTCATATAACACCTGTTTCACTCCGCCTATGTTAACTACAATCTCTGTCTCTTCACTGGCTTCAGAGCCATTGCAGTCTGCATACCGCGTCCTCTGGATCCCCCACATTGTGTTGACAACAAGTCCGCAACACAAAAAAATTTACAAAAGTGTGTACTGTAGTAAACGCAAGTCACCAGAAGCTCTGGCGCTGTGCGTAAAACCTCCTGAATCTTCTAATCTCTGCGTTTTAGTTGAAGAAAATAATAAATGTTTGCTCAGAGGTGACTGCAGCGTCAAGTCTTCAACACAGCCGTGTTTGGCAGTGAACAGTGCGCCTGTGCGCTCTGAGAAAGTTGGTATTGAAGTGCGCGTAATGTCAAGTATGCCACGATGAAACCACAGGACTTCCGGGCATAACTTTCAAAACAAAACATTTACTGATCAAGTTTTTTTTCGCCACCAAACACCCTGTTAATGCAGATTGAGACAGTTTTCGTAGCTCAATTATTATCCAGCAGTTAAAAAAACACTTAATGTCTGACCTCTGTTAATACAACACGCACACTGACCACCTTTCTTCTGTAACCTTATTCCAGTCGTTGTCATTTACTCTGCTGCTTACACACTAACAAACCTTCCTTACCAACCTTGTGATGAATTATCTTACATAAAATTATTAAGAACAAACTTGAGAACTGAGTTTTAGGGCTTTGTATGAGTCAAAAAAGCAGGGAAACAATTATAAAAGAATTATAAAAATACAAACAAACTCAAACAGGCCAAATAATAATTTAAATACCATAATAAATTAATATCAAAGAAATTATTTGTATCAAAGGGCAAAAACTTACTGGCTAAATTATCTAAAAATTACCCAAAGAACATGATATATGAATAAAAATGACTAATGAGAAATGTTTCAGCCCCTGTGAATCAGTCATATACAGTAAGTAACAAGAGTATCACAGCCACAGACATCACAATGCTTTTACTTTTAAGGCTGTCTGCGTGTTTCCGGTGGCGCTCTGTCTGTCTGTGGTTGTTTTGACGCAGCACATCATAAACCTCAGCGGCATGTAATGAATTGTGTAGTAGCAAACAGGGAAATCAGACACACGCACTCCGCTGGCTCTCTGATGGCAGCTGTAAGAGGCAACAATCAGTTAAAGGGCATCGATTAACAGGAAGCATCACACCAGCAATTAAATTATCCTTTTTTCTTTTTTTACAACAACAGCCTGTAAAATGTTTTCCCATATCCCAACCTAGACGCATTATCCATCATCCATTTTGAATGTATTATAAGCTATCACCAAATAGAAGGAAAAGAATCAGTGTTTTTCTTGGATTATTGTTTTATTAATGAGGCCTATTATTTGTTCTTATGTCTCACAGTGTATTTTTTTCCACTGAAGTTGCAGCTCATGTATCATGTTTGTCAGACATTAAAAGCGTGACAAAAATAACAAATTACCATAAAGTTCCGACAGTAAAAGAAACATTATACGGTGGTTTAATGATGTCGAGTCATAGTGATGTTTGGGAATTAAAGGTGAAAATGTCATCAGAGGGACATTTACACAAATCTGTTTTCTTTGGCTACTTTCAAATATAAATCTGCACTCTTGAGTTGAACTGAGCAGTTCTGCAGTAGCCCACGCTGAATTATTGATTGGCAGACAGACTGACAGGATCTCAGCAGGAGTTTGCCTTGTTGTTTGTCTCCACCTAGTGACAACACCTTCACAGTACAGGAGCCTAAAGGTTTTCTAAACATTGGTGCAAACCACTGAGGATTGGAATTCATTAATAAGTGATAAGTGAAAAAAACAATGTACAAGGAAGTTCTGTGTTTGTGTTACAGACTACTGTGAAGCATTAAACTAAATCTGAAGTAAAACCTGCAATGCAGCGGATTCAAGTCAAACTTTGGGGGAGTATCTTTGTTATTTTACTACAAGATCAAAATGGAAAAACAAACATCAAGTTATTCTTTCATTGATGGATGAGTAATATCAGGATTACAAGGACTTTACTTATTACTTTGCAAGTTAAGATGATGAGTTAATAAAATATGATGTTAATGATTAAACTACCCATGTGAATGATCTCCTCTTACACTGGCTACAGTGTGAATAGTTACAAATAGTTGCATCAGTAATCAGCGTGTCATATATTTATAGATAAAGTACTGACAAGGGCCACACTCTCCTGTATAATTACTTCTGTTTCTGGCACAAAATACACAACACTTCCTCATTTTAGTCTGTATTTCCTGACATCTGGTTTCTATTCTCAGATATCTATCTATCTATCTATCTATCTACCTACTTTACACATTATTCCATTAGAAAGTACTGTATCACTAACATAAAGTAACTTTACTGTGTGTGGGTTGCATATCCCCCTGGATATTAGATCTGACCCCTCTATTTCTGCCTTCAAATCCAGGCCTATAAAACCCACCTTTTACTCCGCTGGCCTTCCCTGGTTTCCACCTAACTGTACTCCCTGCTCCATCCCTATGTACGTTCGGTGTTGTGTGCCCCAAAATATTGGAAGGTTTTCTTTTTAATTCATGTTTTTATTGCAATTATTCGACAATTGGTCCAAGTGTTTTTTCTGTTTTCTTTGTCTTTTTAGTTTATTTATCAATGTGTTTTTCTGTATTATTTGTCTTTTTAGTTATTCACTGTACAGCACTTTGGTCAGTTTATACTGTGTTTAAATGTGCTTTATAAATTAAATTTACTTACTTACTTACTTACTTACTATACATGTGTATATAGAGACTTTAGACTGAGTCAGCTTTGTCACATTTGTTGCATCTCCTCTTGGTGGAGTTAACAACACCTCCTCCTCCTCCTCTCTCTCCCCCCTCTCCTCCCTTCAGCGTGCCGCTTCCATAAACTACACGGCGCACGCTGATTGGCTGAGGCCACACGTCGCCACCAGCGGACCAATCAGCGCGGGCCACGGTGAGCCTGTTGGATCTACTTTCTGGGAGACGCAGCAGCGGCGGACTGTGAGTGTTGCTAACGCAGGAGACGAGCAGAGAGCAGCTAAAACCATGAGACCACTTTTACTTGGTGAGTGACAACAGCGCCAGTTTTTCTCTACTTCTAAATAAAGTGTGATTTAGTGAACTTGTTAATGTTAAGGTCGTGTTTGGCAGCGTTTCCGCCACTGTGGTTAGCCCGAAGAGCTAAGTTAAGGAGCACAGAAGAGTGCCAGGCCTCCGTTATTGTTCAATCAATGAATTAATAAGCGTCAGTTTCACTTGTTGTTGCACAAATGTGGGATAATTCTGCATATGAACTGTATTTCAGTGGGTTTACGATGTCCTTTTAGTGCTACTAGTACTTTAGTTTGTGTGATGGTTGAACACAATGTGAGCTTGCATTGAGAGTAAACCTTTTGTATCTTCATCCTTTCTTCCAGGAGTGCTGGGCTGCTCCCTGGTCCTGTCTGTCCAAGCCTTTTACTCAGCTAGTGATGATGTTGTCGAGCTCACCCCCTCCAACTTCAACAGGGAGGTGATCCAGAGTGACAGTCTATGGCTGATTGAGTTTTACGCTCCCTGGTGAGTCCATATAACTTTTGGTGGCCGTTATTCAGAGCTAACAAGTCCTCGGATCAGCCACAGTGTGGAGTCAGTGCTGTTTGAGTCAGTGCTGTTTGAGTCGTCTGTTCACGCGTCAGAGGTTTTCGCACACAGAAACCTCAACATCTGGAGAGACTTGTATGCAAAACTGGTAGCTCCTCCTTGGACTGCGATTTCACAGTTCAAGTTTGTTTGTAGAGCACAATCTCACACTGCAGTGCTTTACAAAGGGATAAAGAGTGTGGAATGTATTAACATATACACACAAA